GAGGGACCCCTACAGAAAGAGGAAGTGGAGAGGAGGAGACCGAGTTATAGGTAACACTGAAGGAGCGCTGTAATAGATAGGAGGAGAATCAGGAGAGAGCAGAGTCTCAGAGGCCAAGAGAGTGGAGTTTTTTTGAGAAGGAGGGGATAGTCAACACTATCAAAAGCTGCAGAGAGATCAAGTAGTAAGAGTACGGAGTAGTGGCCAGTGGTTTTAGCAGTTATTAACTCATTGGTGAGTTTTAGTAGGGAAGTTTCAATGGAGTGGAGTGAGCGAAAACCAGACTGCAAAGGGCCAAGAAAGTTGTTGTCAGTGAGGTAGGAGCTCAGGCGATTGTTACATAGTTAATCTGGCTGAAAAAAAAAAACCAAAAGTCCATCCAGTTCAACCAGAGAAAAAAAAAACTTAGCTTAGACTAAGCGTTATAAGAGTTTAGAGGTAAATGGGAGCAGGGAGATGGGTCTTAAGTTGTTCAGATTGTTGGAGCTTTTTAAGTATGAGAGTGATCTGTGCATGCTTTAGAGGGAAGGGGAAGGCGCCAGTAGTATGAGTGAGGGAGCATAGGATAGAAGAAGAGGGTGACCATAGTAGTTGTGAGGGGACAGGATCCAGGGTGGTGAGACGGGCTTTTGAGAAAACTTTAGTGACCTCTTCAGTAGTAGCAAGGTTCAAAGAGGAAAGTGTTGAGGGAGGTTTAGTATGAGGTATGCTAAGTGGTATGGATATCTGTGTAGTGGAGATGCCCCTATGAATTGCATCAATCTTGTTTCTCCATCTACACCTCCTCCTTTGGTCACTTGAAATACTCTCATGGCTTTAAGTACCATCTCTATGCTGATGACACACAAATCTATCTTTCTACCCCTCACCTCACCCCTTCAGTCTCCTCTCGCATAACTAACCTACTAAGTGACATATCAGCATGGATGTCACTCCACTTCCTCAAACTAAATCTTTCTAAAATGGAGCTCATACTATTCCCTCCAGCCCATGCCCCTCCCCTGACTTCTCCATCAAGATCAATAATACAGCCATCAATCATCCCCTCATGCCAGGGCACTAGGTGTAATTCTAGATTCCCATCGGTGCTTTCAGTCCCAAATGCAATCACTGTCCAAATTTTGTAGACTTCACTTCCACAACATCTCCAAAATATGCCCGATTTTAACCTCTGAGATCACTAAGCAACTTATTCACTCCCTTGTTATCTCTCGCCTTGACTATTGTAACTCCCTCCTCATTGGCCTACCTCATCGCAGACTATCCCCTCTTCAGTCTATCATGAATGCTGCTGCCAAACTCATCCACCTTACCAACCGCTCCATATCTGCCATCCTTCTCTGCCAATCCCTTCACTGGCTTCCCATTGCCCAATGAATAAAATTCAAAACATTAACAATAACTTATAAAGCCATTTATAACTCTGCCCCAAATTACATCCCCAATCTTGTCTCCAAATATCACCCAAACCGTCCTCTCCGCTCCTACCATGACCTCCTGCTCTCTAGCTCCCTTGTTTTCTCCTCTCATGCTCGTCTCCAGGACTTCTCCAGAGCCTCCCCCCATCCTTTGGAACTCTCTACCCCAATCTATCTGACTATCGCCTACTCTCCCACTTTTTGCCATTGCTGAAAACCTTTCTCTTCAGGGAAGCCCATCCTGCCTTCAGCTAATAACCAAATCTTCTATTTCTCCTATCAGTTCATCCCCACAGTTATTACCTTTTGAACCATAGCCCCTCCCCTCTTAGATTGTAAGCTCCAAGGAGCAGGGCCCTCCTAACCCTCTTGTATTGAACTGTATTGTTGCTGTATGTATCGCTTTAGGTGATCCCTGAAAACCTATATCTTCAGGGAAGCCTATCCTGCCTTCAGCTGATAACTGAATCTTCTATTTCTCCTATCAGTTCACCCCCCACAATTATTACCTTTTGTACCACCAGCCCCTCCATCTTAGATTTTAAGCTCCAAGGAGCAGGGCCCTCCTAACCTTCTTGTATTGAACTGTATCATTGCTGTATTGTCTCCCTTTATATTGTAAAGCGCTGAGCAAACTGTTGGTGCTATATAAATCCTGTACAGGGGCGGACTGACCATTTGAAAACTCGGGCACTGCCCGAGGGCCCGGGGTCAGTAGGGGGCCCCATGAGATGCCCCTGGTACCTTTTTCATAGGCTTTTGTGAGTTTGGGCAAGGCACAGGGGCCCCATGATCCCCTATTGCCCAGGGGGCCCCATGAGTTGTCAGTCCACCCCTGATACTGTATAATAATAATAATATACATACCCCAAGCTGCTGCTAGTTCTAATTTTTTTATACTTTGTACTTTATTTTATACATTCAAACCCTTAAAACTTTATCCAGAAATGTGGAATTGTAGCCTGTTAAAAGAACAGGCAATATTTTGCTAGTTTACATGAAAAAAAGCTTGCAGCTAGTAATAATTAACGGTGAGTGTGCCGAATTGGAGCAAAGTCTAGGCCAAGCATGCAGGTTAATATTACATGCATATATTTTGGACCATAAATTTAGGCGGTAGAAATAATTGAACCTAAATCTGATGTGGTTTGCCCTGAACTGGTCTCTTGCAAACTTGAAGTGCATAGATTGTTTTTCTCAATTGTTTATCTCTAATTTTATTAGATCGCTGTTCTTTATCTTGTTTTATGAACAGTATGAAGAGGCAGCTGAATAGCTAATACCAAGACAAGATTAAACCTCGCAAGGACATTTTTTTGGTTTTTACTAAACTATAAGCATACATATCACACATTAAATGATATGCTTGACTCTTATATCTTATATAAATAAAGTAGAATGCCATTATCTGGTAACCTTGTCTTAGGTATGGCGTCAATAATATTTGTGTGGAAATGTTATGGGTTTTTTTGTGGCAGCAAGATGCCAGCCTTGCTAGATGACTGAAAAACATTTCTCAGCTTTTTAAACAATCCATTTCCTGACAGCTTGGGAGATAACAGCTCTTTGTGTCGGTTATGCATGAAGATGAACAGAATGTTTGAATGTACCAGAGATCTGACTTTCCTATTTAAACAAGGGTGGCATGTATGAATCTCTACTGCCAGATGTGTCCAGTGCAGGATGGAAGAGAGAAAGGAGCGAATGGATTAAGGAATGTTCCCTAAAGTAACCATGGATTGAAATAGGTTTCCTTTACATACATATTTTGCAAGCACTGTATGTTCTGAAATGGTAATAATAAAATGGAGACAACTAAAAGCTTCTCACAGAATTTCTAAACTGGAAAAATACACAGGCAACACATATTTTTTGTTTTATACATTTTCTTATATGTTAATATATTATGGAAACCAACTTATTTACATGTGTAAAACTCTTTACTGGCCACAAGGAATTATATATTGCAAATCATTATCACATTTTATGTGGTTTTCTGCATCTAGTCCTTCGCTGAAAATGACATGGGGATTGATTTACTGAAACTGAAGAGTTCATAATCTGGTGCGGTTCTGCATAGAAGCCAATCAGCTTGCATGTTTTATTGTAAAAGCTTGGTTGAACAAGCTGACGTTAGAAACTGATTGGCTACCATGCACAGCTGCACCAGATTTTGTACTCTACAGTTTTAGTAAATCAACTTATGCTGTGAAGAAGACTTGTTTTTAAAAGCTTGTTTTAAGTATGCAATCAGATGAGTATTCATTACAGGATGCTGCTATAATATGCAAGATACAGTGCTGCTTTGATGATAACACTTGACCATCCAAAGGACCACACACAATATAGCACTAGATGTATGTGACTGGAAACACAGGGATGGTTGTCATATGAGATTCCTATGGATTGGAATTGTGAATAACAGCAACAAATGATATTAGCAATATTTAGAATGTTGGATAGCACAAATAAGCAATTTTACAATGGTTGAGCCAATAGGATGTGGAGGAAAAGGAGTTATGCCTCCAGCAAATGACTGGGCAGTGTTTGGTGGGATAGTTGGAAACAGGCAGTGAAAGATGCCAAATTATTTTTAGGAAAAAAATTAAAGCCTTGGTTGCTTGGGTATACATTTCATCAAGGCTAATAAGTGCAGCAGCCAGTGGTCCATTTTGTGGCGCTAATAAGCAAGCTATTGTAAAAAAAAAAAAGGCATAGGAAGCCAACCACTACCAAATACCATACAGCATGTAGAGCTACATTGTTAATACACAAATCCTTTAAGACAGGTTTAGGGGATGTCTTAAAAGAACAGTAAAATGTACACATACAGCATATTCTGAAAGTGCATATTTGGCTGTAGAACTGATTTTTTTTTGCTTTTGGAATTAGCTTATGTAAAGTAGCACTCCAGTCTTCCAGGTTCCAAAAATACTTTTTTCAGGTTGTCATATTAAAAACACATGTGTCACTGAGGACAACAATGTCCTCCAACTGCTCATCCTACCCTATGTACAGGGTGTCCCTGAAGTCTGGACAAATAGCATATCGAGTTAGTGATATTTCCTAACATCTAGTCAGTGATATAAAGTCCAGACTTTAGGAACATCCTGTATAATGCCTAGATTTTGGGAAGGTTGAAAAATCCTTTGGAAGCCTGTCCACCTTCCTCCTCCTCTTCTCCCTCCCCAGTCCCCACTGAAATCTACAAGGGGGGGGGGGGCGGGGGGTAGAATCTTGTTATTCAGTTCATTATTAACAATATAAACAAACTATTGGGATAAGATACTGGGGTTGGCCATGGGGACGTGTATTCAAAATATAAGAAAGAGATTGATTATCAGTGCCCTGATTATCAGTGCAGCCCGAAAAGTGCCCATTAGTGCTCAACAGGGCAGTCCGTTAGTGCCTAACAGTGCTGCCCATCAGTACTCAGCAGTGCTGCCAATTTGTGCCCATCAGTCAGTTCCGCCTTTCAGAGCCAGCAGTGCTTCCTATTAGTGCCCATCAGTGCTGCATATCAGTGCAGCCTCATCAGTGCCTCCTCATCAATGCCAATCAGTGCCGCCTAATCGGTACCACCTCAGCAGTGCAGCCTATTAGTGCCCATCAGTGCTGCCTATCAGTTCCCATCAGTCCTGCCTATCAGTGCAGCCTCATCAACGCACATCAGTGAAAGAGAAAAAGTACCTGTTTGCAAAATTTTATAACAGAAACTAACAAAAACTTTTTTTCAAAATGTTTGGTCTTTTTTCATTTATTTATTTATATTATTGATTTCATTTATAGTGCAAAAAAAATAAAAAAAAAAGAGTGGTGATTAAATACCACCAAAAGAAAGCTCAATTTCATATGGGTACAATGTTGCATGACCGCACAACTGTCATTCAAAGTGCAACAGTGCTGAAAGCTGAAAATTGGCCTGGGCAGGATTAGGGGTAAAAGTACCCAGTAGGCAAGTGGTTAAAAACCCCCCCACAGGAATCCTCTTTCCCCATGATTGTATAATTGGAGTGAATATTCATACAATTTTTTCAGTGAACATTCTCAACTCCCTTGGTATATCAGCTCCATATAGCCAATGGCAACAACTGCATCTTTTCTACATCTTGACAAATGTGTGCACTACAGGACAGCCAGGATGCCATATAACTCATCTGTGTATTTGAAGGAATAGCATTTGTCAAAAAGTAGTGATGGCTCAGAGCGTACTGCAAGGGCACAGCATACTTCATGAATAGGTGAAAGAGTTAAACTTTATTTGTAGCTGCATTTGCCTTTTGTTATAAATAAATACACAAATTTAAGCCCAAAAATATAGCTTTTTTTAACTGAATATTGTTGTTTTCGTACTTTTTATTGGCTATTAAGAAGCCGGATATCAACATAACCCTTTTAAGACAGTATTATGCACCAAACTAAACAAATGCAATTAATAGTACACTAAACTATACATGTTGTTTATGTACTGTCTATACTTACTGGTCTTTGAGGAGAAAAAAAGATGGGAAAGACCAAACTAAACATTTTGTAGAAACTAAAATAAAAGGATGGGAAACTGGTGTGTGTGTGTGGGGGGGGGGGGGGGGGGGGGGGTGTTCAAGTTGACCTCAGTATTAAGTAAATGGGCTGGCATCCATGAGGAAGAAATAAAGCTCAGACAATACATGGCCAGCCAGCATATAATACATTAGGTTATCACTTTTTATATTAATGCACACGTACATTAATATGAGATATTTTGAAGTCCAACCAGCAAGCCCATAGCATAGTATTTTACATTAACCTTGAAAGTGAAAGAAATATGGGTCTGCCACTGCTGACTTCCATCTGAAAAAAACTAGCTACTTGGCTATTATTCTGACCTGCCGTCTTCACTATTTGCTATGAACATCAGGAAAATTTAACTAAAATCAGGACATTGTTTGAATACTTCAACTGACAAGGGTTAAAATAAACTGTTTGAGAGAGCATTCTCTTTTTTTTTTTTTTTTTTTAGAATTAGTTAATGAAAAGTCTAACATGACAAATTTAGCCTATGCATATGTGATATAAAACATCCAACACGATATGGAATTATGGTAGAGCAGTTCCTGTTCACTATAACTCTTGGATAGAAGGAGTAGAAGGGATAAGCTACAATGTACTAGTTTACTTCTAAATATTCACCTATATTGTTTGCAGATTCTGGGTATCATCAAGCTTTTCCAGGTAGCGTTTGCCGTGTGAGTAAAAAAGCACCCCCACTACATAACATCTCTGAATTTCATCACATTAGTAGGGAGTTCACCACATTTAGTTTGTAAGAAGGTTACAACTTAGTTATTTAAGTGTTTTTGTACGTACAGCATTCATCATGGTGTTTTATAAGAATTTCTTTATTAGGCATTATTCTTCTGCTTTTGATACATTTTTCATCTTTTTCTTGGATTCAATTTTCTTTAGTGTTATTGACTATGGCTTTGATTTCAGTATTTATCATTCTATATTTTTAAACTTTCTCTTTGATCCACTCATGTCTTTCTTTGTGAATTCAACAGTAGACTGGAAATAGACATTGGTCTTCTATAAAAGTACTGAATAAATTGTACAGAATATTACTTTGTAATGTAACATCTGAAATGCAACAAAAGGTTTTGTTTGTGGATTTTACCTCCAGAAGCAATGAATAGGTTTATAATGTGAATATCGATGTGCTGACCTTCATCTTTGAGCAAAGGACATGTGCATTTAATTTTATGCTATCCTGCCTGGATAAGGTTTCTGATCTTTTTTCTAAACAGTAATCCTTTTTAGGTTAGGCAGAATTAAATGCAAGTATTCATGAAAATAAAAAAATTATAAATCAGTAATTATCTTGATTCAATTGTCCCTCATCATGTTGTCTTCTAGAGAAAAAATGAGAAATATGTTTATGCTCTAGTTATTCCAAATACTTCATACAGAACCTCTGGATGCAAAGAAATTTGGTAAAAACCTTACCAACCAACCAGACTCTAACAAAATGCTAACCCCTCATTGATAGCTATAGGAATTAGGTACTGTATAAGTGAACTGGGCAAATTTTGTTTCACAGGAGGTTTGGCAAACCCAAATTTGGTGCTATACTAGCCCTACTGAAATATAGGAGAGGTGAATCTTGTAAAAATTCATCAGGGTCTTTTTAGGCTAATTTGTCAAAAAGGCACAGGTAACTGGAAACTTCGATGGGGACATGTAACAATACAAAAAAAAGAAAAAAAACATGTATTATGCAGTGGGGAGATGTTATTTTTATGCAGCATAAGAAAGACAGAAAGGACACAAATCCTTAAACTGCTTCCCGTCCACTCACAGCCTATAAACAGCTGATAGGAAGCAGTGCCGATGTGGGTTACCGTACCTGTAAGTAAGCCTGCATCAATGTCCTGAGCGACTCACAGAACATGCACCCAAGAGCCCAGTGATCCACGTGTCACCTGGACACAGTGGATCACATTACCTCTGTGTCCGGGTGATCATATGGTCTTGTACCATGTGATTGCTGTCACAGCAATCACATAGTACTCAATGAAAACCGAAAGTAAACATGTCAGACTGCATGTACACTCACAGACTGCAGTGCTAGCCTGCCCTAGTGTCCCTGATCACTGTCCCAAGTGTAAGAACAAAAGTGTGCAGCCAGCCCCTGTCACCTGTCCCAGTGTCACCAGTGCTCATGCCATACATCATATACCAACGTTCTGATCACTACCATACCAGTGTCCTGATCACTGCCATGCCCCATACCGGAGTCCTGAGCACCTCCATATGCCATACCAGCAACCTGATCACCATTATACCTCCTACTAGTGTCCTAATCACCACAATATGCCATACCAACATCTTGATCACCCCAATACACTATACCAGCATCTTGACCACTGCTATTTGGTATATCACAGCCCTAATTACCGCCATATGCCATATCAGCATGTTGATCACTGCCATACCCTATACTTGTGTCCTGATCACTGTAGTACCCCACACCAGCATCCTGGTCTTTGCTATATGCCATACCAGCATACTGATCACCCAACTGCCCTGGTCACCGTCATACCCTATACCAGCATCCGATCACTTCCATTGACCCAGCATCCTGATCACTGGCATGATCTATACCAACATCCTAAACACCGCCATAACCCATATCAGCACACCATCATTTCCCATGCCAGTGTCCTGATCATTGCCATATCAGTACCAGTGTCAACAGAGCCAATGTCTCCAATTTTTTTCCACTGTCCTGATTCTCCAGGGCCTCCAAAAATGCAATAGATAGTCAGGAAATTAGATGCATAATTTATGCCACTAGAACACCTTAACTGCTTCCTGCGACGTACTGTGATTCCAAATCGACAAACGTAATCCTAGCTGTTAAAGAACTGCTCTGATTATTTTTATAGGCAGAAAATGGGTTCCCCTTCAGCTGCTGCCTTTACTGGGCTCTCCTCAGTGATCATGGAGTCCAGTAAGGAAATTACTGTCAACATCTAACTCTAGGCACACAGTGAGAGGAACTGATGTTGTTCCTTTCACTGTGTGAGGTCAGAAACTGGAAGCGATGAGGATTTTGTCATTTCCGGTTTTGATTCTTTGTTTACCTGGCTGTTACTTGCCAGAAAAAGCAGCTGATCAGACCAGTTTGTGTCTGATCAGCTGTATTGGAGGCCAAAGGAGAGGTTTGGGGTCTAATAGATCTAATGCTGTTCCATGGGATGTTGTTTATCCCTTATGTTAGCAATAAAGTTTACCAAAAAAAATAATTAAAGAGACTGTAAAAATGTTTTTTTTTTTTTTTTATAAAATAAATAATATGATTAAAAAATTTTTAAGGCGCCCTCGTGGCACATACATGCAAATGTGTGTGCCACCACGTGTATGTAAACAGCGATCGCACCACATATGTGAAGGATCTGTACAGATATCAGAGTGAAAGCAATAATTCTACACTGTTCAAAATTAAAGGAACACTTTTCAACCAGAGCATAGCATCAAGTCAGTTAAACTCCTGGGATATTGATCAGTTCAGCTAAGTAACAGAGGGAGTTGTTAATCAGTTTTAGCTGCTTTGGTGTTAATGAAATTAACAACAGGTGCACTAGATGGGAAACAATAAGACAACCCCCAAAACAGGAATGGTTTTACAGGTGGAGGCCACTGACATTATTTTCCCTACTCATCTTTTCCAACTGTTTTTTTACTAGTTTTTCATTTGGCTAGGGTCAGTACAAGTTGAAAGTAGGTAGGTGGTCTTTTTCCTGTTCCTTGGGGGCCCCCTCAAGATACCAACGGTCACACCTGGACACAGCTACGAGATCTCGGAAAGTGAATGCACTCAAATCACCTCAGTTGCGATTGCAAACACTTCAGTTTTATTGGCATAACATCAGGGTTATTATACTGTAGTCTTTAGGCAAACACACCCTCAGACCTTCCAATCAAATACATGTACATTGTTTTACCTTAACTCAACAATTATTTGTATGAGGTTTGCATTTTCACTCTTCTGCTTTATCTATCATACCATATCTGCTCTATCGCCCAGACCATGGCTGTAATCTGACCCAACGCCCAGACCATGGCTCTAATCTGACCTAACACCCAAGTTGTGGTTAAAACTTTTCAGAAG